TTCAGGACACGCGCGTCCGCTTATAGACTTTCCTTCCATTTCACAACGAGACGTCATTGAACTCTTTAACAAGCAGTCGTTACCTCTGTTACTGTTGAGGCTTTGAACTTAGAGTCGTCATAGGTCCACCCGTCTGTGCACTTCTGCGTGTTGTATTCAGTCGTGCTCCCGTGGGTGCCATTGAGATCCAGGAGGTGCCATTGAGGTGAGGAGTACATGAGGCATTTCTCCAGCCGCTGGTTCTGGTCCAGAGGGATGAAAACCCGGAGAAGATCCTCCGTCCGCGCTCTGTCCATCACGTTGACGTACCTGGAGTCGTTCACCGTTTCCAAACGGATCCGACAGTGATGGTTGGGAACAGCAGCCAAGAAATTCTGGAGCAAGTTGTGCATGGTCAGGATCAGGGATGGGGTTGACAGCAACAAAACGTGGATGATTTGGAACTTGCCCATGCTCACAACGTCCTCCAGGATATCGCCGAAGCCCATGGTCGCAGCTCAGAGATGACGACACTGCGGGAGAAGGACTGGGGCTGAGCGAGAGATCATGGCACTGACGGAGAGGCTGGAGCAGGGACGCAATGTCTCTCTGAACTGATCATTAATCCACCCATTTCAGTAATGTTTAAGCTGGTGATAACAGACCTCGCTTTATCACGCTAACTTAATCAACCTGGTTTAACAGAGACTAGACTCTGTGAAAGGAAGGTGATGGAGTTGTGGCTGGTGGGGGTTTGGGAAGAGTTATTGCTCAATGTTGTACTAGGTTAGCAGCATTTGAGAAGTCTCATTAAACAGTCCCTTCTATATAAAACCACCTTCTTTGCATCCTTACACACAGATGACTATGATAAGCCCTGTTTGCCCAGAACAGGATGTTGCCGAGAATAGAGGGTCGAGTTATAACAAGAGGCTGGAAAGGCTGGGATTTTATTTCACTGGAGTGTAGGAGGTTGAGCGGTCTATCAACCTGGCGTATTTGTGTAAGGGATGGTACCACGCAATACAATGCTTTTCACTGTATCTCGGTACATGTGACAACAAATAAATCAAATCACATATTACAACAGATCGTAACTAGGAAGATGCAGGAAGAAATGCAGCCATGGAAATTTTGGTCAGATCATATTCTGGTTAACGTTCATTTGAAGCTGCCCCAGCATTAGAGGTGTTTAGCACGCTTGCCTTCATTGCTCAGTCCTTTGAGTACAGGAGTTGGGACGTTATGTTGAGGTTGTACAGGACGTTGGTGAGGCCTCTTCTGGAGCACTGTGTCCAGTTCTGGTCACCCAGTTATAGGAAGGATATAATTAAGCTGGAGAGGGTTCAGAAGAGATTTACCAGGATGTTGCTGGGAATGGAGGGTTTCAGTTATAAGGGAGAGGCTGGGTAGGCTGGAGTCTAGGTGACTGAGTGGCATGGTGGCTCAGTGGTTAGCACTACTACCTCACAGCACCAGGGACCCCGGTTCGATCCCACCCTCGGGTGACTGTCTGTGTGGAGTTTGCATATCCTCCCTGTGTCTGTGTGGGTTTCTTCCGGGTGCTTCCAGTTTCCTCCCACAGTCCAAAGATGTGCAGGTTAGGGTGGATTGGCTGTGCTAAATTGTCCCATAGTGCCCAGGGATGTGCAGGTTAGGGTGGATTGGCCATGCTAAATTGCCCCCATAGTGTGCAGGGATGTGCAGGTTAGGGTGGATTGGCCGTGCTATAGTGTCCAGGGATGTGCAGGTTAGGGTGGATTGGCCGTGCTAAATTTTCCCA